CAGCACTCCTTACTTCAAAGAGTTTCTGGCTCCAGGCTCCAGTCACAAGAGCTCACACTTACCTAACACTGCTGTGTGCAGGCTGTGCTCTAGCAGTGGACACATATTACACCTTTTCACCCTCCCAGCAATATCCCCTCTTACCAAGGAGGAAACTGAGGCAAGGGAGGTGACAGGACTCACCCAGACTTCACCGCCCTGTGAGATGCAAGGCCTGGGAGCTAGTCCCTCGTCCACACTCACACTGTGAGCAACAATTCATGCCAGCACTCGAGTTGTTGCGTTCAGACTGGATCCGGAGAACAACCGCAAGTGGTAGGAATTAGCATCCGCATTTTGGCAGGAGAGGAAATCAAGGCTCAAGGAGCGTAAGTGTCTTAGGAGCTAGGAGCAGGGCCAGTGTTTCTACCCCAGCCTCTGCTTTCTAAGTTGACTGCCGCCGAACCTCACTTACTGGATGGAGTAAAACCCTTGTGAAGTTTCACATCCACAAACCACATCGACGATCATTTTCCTAATGTTTCCTGCAAACTAACTCGGTTTCTACTTCAGTTCTTGAAACTGAACTTCATAAAACTACTATCAAAAGGTAACTGGAATGACCTCCCATAAGCAAATGATAACTGGGAAAATAAATAAATGGAACAGCACTCACGCCACGTTCTAGCTGCAGCCTGTCCGAGCTGAGGGCCACCTGCCTACTCTTTGTGAGAAGATGTAACACAAACGTTAGAAAGGTATTCTCACACCAGAGAAGACGCCTCCCTTGGCTTAATCAGAAGGACAGAAGCAGACCTGGAAAGGGGGTTCTCTCTACAGGCCCGATGCTCTCCAGTAGCTCATCCCGCGCTTTGGGAAAAGTGGCCGCGGCTGTGAGGAGGGAAGGATCTTAGAGGTGGGTTGAGTAGCTGACGAGTATGGTGAGGTGGGGAAGGCAGCAACTTGCAGACGTGGGAACTAGGAGTTCGTCAAAAACAGGGCATCTGGGGAGTTGGTCAGAGATGGGGAGAAAGGTCCCCAGGACACCAAGGTACGAAGCCGTCTGCAAAGGCCAGAGAGCGGAGGAGGCAGGGCCCTGAGCCCCGGAAGGACCCTCTCCCGCACGGCCGCTAGCTCTGGTCTTTGCAAGGCTTTGGCACACGGGCCTCAGAGTGCCTTTGCTTGAAGAGTGCTCAGCTGGACCCAGCGGGTGGCATCAAATATATCAATATCACCACTCCGGCTCACAGCCGGGATCCCAGGCGATCCGGTCTCCAACCACCACCCCCGGGAAGAGTATTCACATTTGCAGGTCCCCACGCATGTGGCAAGCAATGTGCCATGAGCTCCTCTTCTTTTATCTCATTTCATGCTAACCTTGGAGGCAGGGATGACTGCTGAACTCACTGCAGGGGTCATGCAGCTCCTTCCCAGCCCACTCGTTTCTGGACCAGCAGCATCCTGCCACCAACCTCAACACCAGACCCTTGTGTTTCCCTTGCATGCTTCACCCTGCCGCCCCCACAGCTGACCTTTACCAAGCTATGTCCCTACCTTTCGGGAGGGGAGAGGCAGCCTGACACAGCATGCAAGCCCACAAACTGCGTCGGTGTCTGCCCAGAGTTCAGCCCCAGCTCTGCACTTATCAGCCATGAGAACTCCCTGTGCCTCAACTTCCCCGTCTGTAAAATGGACCCCAAAACAGTACTTACCATAATAGTTTAATACTGTTCTCAGATTTACATTTTTCCTGCTTGGGCCCTTTTCCACCTAGCCAATCTTATTTTCCAAATCTTGTCAACACATGCTTCTCCTCCAATCAGGCCAGCATCTACACTGTACCCTGGCTATATCACACTTATTCCCACCCCCTGACTTTGCTGATGAATGTCATTTCTGCCTGAAATGTTTTTCCTTGCTCTCTCCAAATTCTGTCCATTCTTCAAGGCCGAGATCAAGCCTTGTCCCTTCCATGAAGTCCTCAATGACTCCTAGGCCACATAATCTCTTGCTGATTGTCATCCGTTCATTCATCATTCTTTCACTCATTCATTCATTCATTTATTCATCCATTCAGCTAGCACTTATTATCCAGTGCTTACTATGTGCCAGAAATAGCCATAATCTCAACAGATATGGCCACTGCCCTCACAGAACTCTCAGTCCAGTGGGAAAAATAAGCACTAAATAAGTAAACACACAAATCAACATCATTTGAAATTGTGAGCTATGTCATCAGGGGAAAATATAGCTTACAAAGTACAAAGGAATATAAACAGGGGGCTCTAATTTTGATGGAAGGTCCAAAAAGAGGACGTGGCATTTACAAGCAGACCTGAAGGAAGAGTTAGAGTTATCTAAGTAAAAAGAGGGGAGTGTGAAGGGGGGAAGCAGCATGTGCAAAGACCCTGAGGCCCCACAGTCCTTAGTAGGTGGACATGACAATGATAGGACACGACCTTGCCCCCAGCCACAAATGATTGGATCACAGATTGCACCTGGTCTAAGGCTAGCCAATTCCTTTATAGGGTGGCCAGTGGTCTAGGATTTGACTGGACATAAAAAGGTAAACTGAGTCAATCAGGTCATCTCTGCTGGAAATTTTAACTGAGGAATGCAGAGAGCAGTTGCTAGGGGAAGCAGAACAGAAAAGATATAAGGAAACTTTGGGACTAGGACAGCAACAATGGGCCAAACTCAACTGAAGTTATTTCTTAAAAAGCTATTTGGTAAAGAGAAGGCAACCTTGCAAAGGTTTCCTGTTGTACTTAGATAAAATCCAAAATTTTGCCATGGTCTCCAGGGTCTTGCATCATCAAGACCATGCTAACCCACCCAGCTTTCTTCATGCCGCTTTGCATCTTGCTGCCTCCGTTCCAGGCTTATGTCTTCCCTTCTCAGTTCCTTGATCCAGCCAAACACATTTCTGCCTCGGGGCCTTTGCACCTGCTGTTCCTGCTGCTTGAAATGTCTTCTCTCTCTTTGTATGGCTGCCCCTTCTCGTCCTTCAGGTCTGAGCTGACAA